TGATTATTCCCTGTATAGCCCCAGTAATAATTTGAATATTCCCATTTCACTTTAGCCCCTTGAAACCACCTTTTCCATGGGAGCTGCTGTCTTGGCTTTCATGTGTGACGGTGCTCTGGGAGTGTCGATATTGGTGACAATTACCATGTTCTTTTTGATGGTGTCTCCAATTCCAATTCTCTTCATTCTTGTTTTCCCGTTGATACCAAGGCCGGATTCGTATTTTCTTTTAATTTAAATGGCCATGGACGTGCATCTTTCTCGCTTTTCATTGGTCCCATCTTTTATAAACCTTTCATCTGCTTTTTTTGCTGCTCATGTGTTAATAGGTCTTCTCCGTGTTCTTTATTAACCCCCCGCTACAGTGCATTTGGAGTGTCTGTTGGCTGGTGTTTTGCTGTAGTAATAACAAATGCTATTTTGTGTATCTTTTGGTATTTCATCATCATTGAGGGAAGTATCTTTTTCTGGATCCTTAATTGCTAACTACATGGCCTAGGTATGTTAACTTTGTCTTACAAAATAAAAACTTGTAGTTGTAACTCGTTGTTCCACACAGAACCTGTATATGCTCCAGACTGTTTATTTACCAGCACGATGGGCGAACTCCGGAGGGCTTTCTGAAGGTTCAATGATACCATCGTTAAGGTTTTAGCCGGATTTGGTGAGTAATTGAATTAGTTTTACTTGGTGATGATTCGAATTTTCCCATTTCTTTTTCCAAAAATTCCATTCTTCCAGTTGATTTTGTGTTGGTCCCCTTATTCTTCCCAGACCAGGATGTCATTCTCAATGCAATTGTTGTCTGCTGCCGATATGTAGCGTTGCGTTATTGTCGCGTAGGAAATCAAGTCCTAATATTATTGAATTTGTGAGTTTTGGCAAATAACCTGTTTCTACGTTTATGCCTTGTTCTTCTACTTGTATCTGAAACTGAAACATTCTCTCCGATTTTACAAATGATCCACCCACCGATTTTTTTCTTACATAAAATGTTCCTTACCTCTTTACCTATATAACTACTAACGGCTCCTGTATCTAATAAAGCGAAAAATATTTTGTTATCAATTGTTACTTTTAGAAAAACGCGATCATCGTTGCCTCATGTAAATTTCTGGACTGCTCTTACTTTGGTGACGGCTTTTACTGTTTGTAACCAATCCTCCTAATATGGTGGCCTAAGTTTCCCTTTGTTAGGGAGGGTGGTAGCCTTTATACCTAAGTTCTGCCACGTTGAACCTAGTAGCGACAATAGTTATCCTATTTTTGACGCGGGCATTGAAATTTTGGTGTCCTTTTTCATCGCACCGCCAGCGTGAGCATGATTTTTCTCTTGCTGAATTGTTTCCACAAACCGTACCCTAGGTGGAGGTGATGCCGATCTTTGTAAAGTTATCCTCTGGTCTGGCAAAGCTTCGAATTGTCCGGTTATCTGTATATTAGTTCTGTAAGTATTTAAAAATCTTGCCTGCGTACATAATATTTGTATTCGACCCTCAGGTTTTCGTATATTAGTTCCAATTGGTCCATCTTACCACGTCGTTGTATCAAGGCTGGTTGCATAATCGGAAGCATATTCTTTGTTACGTTGTAATCGATTCCCAATCTCTTCCTCCAGCTTATACTGATATCGTGGCGGCAGAAATTGTAATTTAAAACTCTGTATGAAATCGTTCCAATCGATTCAGAAAGTTTTATTATTTCTGTACCGCAATGCTTTTTCCTTTTACCTGGCATTTGATAATAAGCTTGTAATTCTTCGAATCTTTCTAGAAATGATAAAGGATCGCTACGACCACCAAATTTCCCCACATTTCTTTTGACAGATTACTCACGGCATTTCGGGTACATCATGAGGTTTAAATGGTTCACGCACATTAGATTTAGAATACTTAGTTCTGACACGTTAGGCAGTTAAGCACAAGATTTTCTGTCACGCATAAGTCCTGGATAGTAAATCGCCTCTCAAGCTTTGGTTTTACAAGAAACTACATCTTGATGTGATTGATGGATAATATCCAGAAATTCACTTTTTAATGATTCCGGTCTAATCAGTCTTCCTTGGTAAAACAAAACGTTTTCGTGGAGAAAAATACTGCACCGTATTGATAGGACAATAAGGTTTTACGTCTGGTACTAATACCCACATCACTTACCTATTTGATGTCCCAAAAAGTAGATTTTTTTACATAAAATTTAGATTTTATCAAAGTTTAACGTTAGTCCACTTTGTTTAATTTTTTCCAAAATTGTGCTATTGTTATCGTATACCAAAATGTCATTGAAATACGTAATTTGACCTGGTATATTACCCAAAAGTTCATGCATGTAGCGTTGGAAAATTTTTGGGGCACAAGTATGACCGTAGGGTAGTCTTAAGTAACGACAACGTCCGAATGGAGTCGTAAATGTACACAATAAAGAACTTTCATGGTCCAAAGGTAACTGCAAAAACGCGGATGAGGCGTGAAATAACGAAACGAAAAAAAAATTTAACTATGTTTTTTATTCTTTGGGTGGGGCGTGAATTTTATGTACCAATAATATTGTTATGTTTATGACGAAATGGAACTCAGCTTTAGTAGCGTAAAAATTCACACGAATAGGTTATCTGTTCACATTAAATCTCGTTAGTTTCAAATATTTTTAATTATAATCAGTCAGTGACCAAACCATAAACATTTCCAATGTACGTTATTGTTAATTTAGTTAGCAAGAACATTATCCGAGTTCGAGAGATTTACATCTTTTCACACTGATTTGAAGATAAACTGTTCCAAATGAAAGTATGTGCGATGCCCTTCGTTAAGCAAACATTTTTAAAACAGACATTTCAACAACGAAACTGTAATCATCAGCAAAGCACTAATTATGGCAGTCTGCCGTTGAAACGCGTACGATGTGATAAATAAATAGTATATAAATCAATAATAAACTCTAGTGATATTTATTGTAGTTGAGCCTTCTCAACGAACAAACGAATACCAATATAGCAAAACCTACAATTTAAAACGACTGAAATTAAGAAAGGTTCTATAAGTCGGAGAGCGAAGCAGTACATTTATCAGATATATCAAAAAAGAAACAAGAAAGAAAAATAAAGTTATCGATTATGGGGAAAAGCAGTAACCTTCCCTACAGGTCTGCAAGATTAACGTCAAAAATTAGACAATGCGTAAAATATTTTTTCTACAATCGATATCCAAAGTAGGCATTTGCGCTCGTATTTGACAACGCAAACGTCATCTTTTTCGAGGAATGTCACTTTGTCGCTTATAAGCGACAAAATAGAAAAAACGCTCGCTCTCCCAATTATTAACTATAAATCAAATATGCATTGCTCAGAGTATCCAATGACAACGAGTAAATGACATCTTTCATTTGGGCATAAGATTAAAATGATTTGTGTGAAAAATTTAAATTTCTGGAAATATGTGAACTGCTCGATTGTAGAAAAAATCTTGTGTGTAATTCGAGCGCAAATTGATTGTCGATTTCAAGAGATTGCCGCGCTCCTTCGTCGCGCGTCAACTTTCTCTTTCAATCGACAATATATCATTTTGCGCTCTTAAAACAGTCAGGAGCATACAGGTTCTGTGTGTGGAACAACGAGTTACAACTGCAAGTAGAAAAATATTTATCTTGTAAGACAAAGTTAACATACCTAGGCCATGTAGTTAGCAATTAAGGATCCAGAAAAAGTTACTTCCATCAATGATGACGAAACACCAAAAGATACACAAAATAGCATTTGTTATTACTACAGCAAAACACCAGCCAACAGATACTCCAAATGCACTGTATCGGGGAGTTGATAAAGAACACGGAGAAGATCTATTAACACATGAGCAGCAAGAAAAGCAGATGAAAGGTTTATAAAAGATGGGACCAATGAAAAGCAAGAAAGGTGCACGTCCATGGCCATTTAAATTAAAAGAAAATACGAATCCGGCCTTGGTATCAACGGGAAAACAAGAATGAAGAGAATTGGAATTGGAGACACCATCAAAAAGAACATGGTAATTGTCACCAATATCGACACTCCCAGAGCACCATCACACATGAAAGCCAAGGCAGCAGCTCCCATGGAAAAGGTGGTTTCAAGGGGCTAAAGTGAAATGGGAATATTCAAATTATTACTGGGGCTATACAGGGAATAATCAAGGAAAAGGGCTCAGAAAAAAAGAGGGAACGCTGAAACAAGAGGAGGGTGCGCAGGGAAATCAGTAAGGGTGCCAAGAGCAGGATCGATAGAGAGAATGCACCGTATTTTTCACAGTTATGGTGAGCCACGAATTTGAACCGCCCTGTACCAAGCGATTGAATACAAAAATCATATTTTGAGTTCGTAAATATGATGTAAATACGGAAGGGGCTGATTCTGTGGCTTGTTTTATTACTAAAAGTTCATATAAACATAGGCTCGTAAACGGTTCACCGTACACTATAATTTAAAACTTTAATTTATAAATAAGATACAAATGCGACCTGTCCAAACTAATAAAATAAGAGATTATCCAAATAAAGTCAGGACCTACTGGACCATTTTAAAAATGTTACTTTTACTAACTATATTGATGAAATAAATTTCTGGAAATATGTGAACTGCTCGATTGTAGAAAAAATCTTGTGTGTAATTCGAGCGCAAATTGATTGTCGATTTCAAGAGAATTCGAACTGCTCCAGTCCATATTGTATATGCATGTAAAATGTTCAACGAAAACTCTAAGAGAACAATCGTTTCGATGAGCACCAATTTGGCTACGAAAGGGAATCGCATTACAGCAACTACGTTTTAACTATCCAATCGTACAATCCTCCCGAACTTAATCTGTGCAGTTCATACAGGGCTTGCGCTATCCACATTAAGATTCTAGGTTTCCGCATCAATAATTAATTAGTTATCTCGTTTTCATAAAGAGTTGTTTGGGAAGTTAAAGTCAATTTTAATGTTTCGAGATTAAATTTTCATCGCGAAGAATATTATAGTACGAGCTTACCTTTAGGCGGATTGATGGCTACAGCGGAGCGATACAGGGCCTCCTCGTTCACCCAATCGCCATTCCGTGCAAGTGTCTTGGCGGCAAAGCAAACGCACAGCACCACTAGACCGACAACGAAACAGCACCGATATTTCCGAGTGTCCCAAATTTTAGCGCACCCCATACCTAGCAATAAGCACAGACCCGCACTTGGAAGGTAAAGCACGCGCTCGGCCACCACGAACCCCACATAAAATATTAAGTTTGTCGCTGGAAGAAAGGGTAAAGCTAAAAAGGCGAGTCCTAATAAAATCGCGATGCACCCGCTGCTCTCTAATTTTCTTCGTCTTCCGTTCTTTAAAATCGCGCGCGAGGGCATTCGTATGCACACGCACGTCGAGTACATACTCGTGCTATTATTGTTATTACTCGTTCTGCAGGATGCCGAATGAAGTTCCGATAAACTCGAATGGCACACCGAACATGAACATACCCAATCGCTCGATAATAAAAACGTCGTCGTATTCTCGCGACGTCTTCTTGATTTAGCCGGCGAATATGTCTGTCTTGTAAACACCCTTTTAACACAGTACCTGACCAGTAAAACTAAAGTCATATAAAATACTACAGACACGCAATTGCGTGGATCACGAAGCGATGTGACGCGCGGTATCGCATCCATCCCCCAGTCGAAGCTCAGCGAACTCGGATACAGCAGCAGTCCAAAATTGAAGGCCGGCAAGTACAGGAAGGTAAGAAGGCGAGTTAGTAGATGGGGCGCGCGTGCCGTCGGATTGTCCGCCGTCGAAAACTGGGGTGTCGGAACTTGCAGTCGGAGTAGTAAAAGTATAAACGCCGTTGAACTTAACAATATTGCGCTGCGCCACTGCCTCTGAAACAATGAAAACAACCCCCTGTTATTGTTGCGAATTAATCGTTACCTGTTTTGCTATTTCGTTTGCGTCCCTCTTTAATTAAAGCCTGCGCTCGAAAACTAACACAGTGTGTGTACACGTGAATGCACCCCTACTCTTCAACCCCCAGCGCGTAATTGCAGATTTTTCCGCGCGCTAATTATAATTGTTACATGATGATGGATTGCATAACACAAACCGTATCGTTAGCATGTAAAATTTACACGGAAAAGCATTTTACCTGCGGCTAATTTATTATAATTCAGTGATCATAATTAATTTTGGTTGTACTGTACATGTGGTCATTATTGTAATTGGAATTCTGGCGCATGGTCAATATTGAAAACCCCAAACTTCTGTCAGTAGTCCGGGACTGACTAGTTCAACAGTGACCTATACCGTAGAATAACAAATAAGTATGCAAAAAAAACGCATGAAATGGCACATTTAATGTCAACGTTATTTTTATATTTGTGAGTTTGTCGGAGAAAAGGAGAGATTGTACTATATGGGCATTCTAGAAGCGGTAAGAGACACATTTTGTGTATAAAAACAGTCACAGGTAGCCCCCAGTGCAAAACTTATGTCTTTCTCTTCGCATGGGCAGGCGGATGGGCTACACAGAGATGAAAACATAGTAGTATAATTTGTGTACACCTCACAAGTGACCAGTTTTGCAGTGAGCGGCTACCATCATGCCATGATTGACGTGACTGTTTTTATACTGGGAGACCAATAGTGGGGGTAAGGAAACTCCATAATTCTAGGCGACTGCTTTTAGGGATTTTGGGAACCGCACAGATATGTCATTTCCGAGATTGGTCCGCTGAGCATTATTCTTCAACCATCATTCGGATGCATTGAGTCATTCGGATGCATTGAGTTGCTTACCGGTGAACGGTACATGTGAGTTGCTAACGCATAGGCGAAATTCACGAGTGCTGATTCCGTCGAAAATTCTAATTCTCAAGAAGGTTTTTGGAATTCTCCATGGTGTTCTAGCAAGGTCGTATGTACGGTGACCATCCCTGGACCAATGTATCTAGAACGCCGTGCGTAATTGCAAAGAGTGCCTTGGCCCACGATCAACATCGACCACGCTGGAGCATTCTATGTTTAACAATCTTTGATTATTGTTGACGTATTCAGTGAATGGCTGGAGGTGAAGAAGGTACCATCCACAGCATCGGAACACACCACTCAGTATTTACGGGATTTGCTCGCGAGATGCCGGAGGTATCCAGAATTCGTCATAAGCGAGTACCACCTATCGTCAGACGGACAGGCATAAAGGATGGTCCAAGAAACGAAAAAGACGTTAAAGAAGTTGGGTACCGGAAACAGGGAAGATTTTTATTTTGAGGCGGTGTGTTAAATATTAATTTGCTCATAACTACGCCTACCTAATAGTAATATGCAGTTGTGGAGAATCAATTTTTCTATTTCCATGAATAGTGGTGAACCACAACACGAATTTTAATTTGTTTGAAATAGACAGAGAACGTTTGTGATTATAAAATCGTTACGACGGAGTAATACATTGCAAACTTAAAACAACCCGCAAATTTGAAACAATAGGAAACTAAATTAATAAACAAATCAACGTCAATTGTTGTTGATAAAGTATATGTTACGGATATGTATTCTGCGACTGACTCTACCGGAACACCATTATCAAACAATAATACTGTTTTAGTGTGTTGTTTCACCAACTTTCGGTAAAATACTTGGGAGAGGGAATATATTTGTGTTAAATAAATAATACAGAAGAGGGCGATAATGAAATTGGCTTAGTTTATTTTGTACGAAAGCTTAAAATAACCCACGATATCTATCTCTAGTTGTGAAACCTTGAGCCGATTAATTGCGATTCCTACACAATTTACGTGCCGATTTTCATCTCACAACGTGTCTCATTTTCACACTCACTCAAAAGTGTTTCGGTTCCAGCCAGTCATCTTCAATTACGCGTTCTTATTCCTGGTCCAAGACGCCCCAAACTCTTTAGGTTGAATCAATGCCGACAATAAGGGTATGCTTGCCTTCCTGGGTTGCTAAAGAATGCGCATAAGTAGCGCAATATTCGGTTTAAAGTGATGGGAATGGCAAGCGGCACACTCTGTATTTAACATTATGAAGTGAAGTGAAAAAATCTTTATTATCTTTACTTTTACAGTAAAACTACACCTACCGAAGTATGTACACACAAGATCTAAGATAATAGAGAAACTAAAATTAAACCCGAGGCTACTAGCCTGTTTGGGTTTTACACATATACTTTTTCATGCTCACTATAGCAGGGTAAGGGGACGGACCGGTCAATATTTTCTCTTTAACTAGTGTATGTTATTTTAATTACAAAATTATAAGACGTCGCAATTGTTACTCGATAATGATGGGTTTAATTTATATTATAGTTGATTATAAGAAAATTATTACTCAATTATTGTGTAGAAAAAGTCGGTAGTATCCAAGTTAAGTAAGTATTTTTTTATGGTTCTTAAGAAAATAGTTTTTGTTTTTATTTCCTTGATATGTAGAGGTAAACAGTTGAAAAACTTTGGTGCTAAGTAAGTGTAAAATTTTCTGAAGTGATTAATGCTTGGTCGAGGGACGTTTACATTTGATTTGTATTTTTTTCCGGATATCAGCACGTTCTTTGGTACTTCTGTTATAAAATATTTTTAACACTTTGTATATATTATAAGCTTCCTACTGGCAAAATTTTAAGTTTTTTAAACAGGGGAGTTGTATGCTCTCTTCTTCCCATATTACAGATTATCCTGATGTAACACTTTTGAAACGTAATTAAGGGTTTAATTGTCGTAGAGTAAGTTCCTCCCCACACTGATAGCCCATACTCTAATTTTGAGTTGGCAAACGCATAGTATACTGTTTTAAGGAAAGAAGGAGAACATAAATCCTAATAAATAACATATTCTCATATACTGGAGTAATTTGTTTTTTACTTGTGCTATATGTGGTTTCCAGCTGAGTTTCGAATCCACCACAATCCCCAAGTATTTCATTTGGTCTACCATCTCTATTTCTAGACATCTACAGTTCGTAGTGCAATTTACTTCATGATATTTTAACGGTGACTCCAAACTAAAGTGTCTTCTTAAATAAAAGTCATATACTTGGTTTTGGGAACCAGAGTCTTAGGAGAAGCAGGTCGTGTTCCATACTGAGTTTAAGATTCTCAGTGGTACCTGATCTGTAAACAAGTGCTGTATCGTCCGCGAAAGCAGACAATTGTCCTCTGAAACAGCCGTTGCATAGCTCATTCACGTAAATAAGGAACATCAGGGGTCCTGATAAAACTGAACCTTGTGGTATTCCGGTTTTTACATATTCTGTTTCACTGAACTTCCCACAAACTCTCGTTTGTTGTGATCGACCAATTAAGAACGTACGGAACCATTTATAAGCAACCCCTCTGATTCCAGCATTCCATAATCGATTTAGTAGAAGTGTATAATCAAAATCAACTGTGTCAAAGGCCTTCACTATATCTATAAATAATCCTGAACAATACTAGCCTTTGTATAGTCCATTATATACTTCTTCAGTGAAATTTAGGGGTGCATCTTCAGTGTTCGAGTTTTTTCTAAATCCAAATTGCTGTTTGCTAAAATCGAATCTATTTAGAAATTTCAGTAAACGATTTTTCATTGCCTTTTCAAATAGTTTTGAAAATACTGATAGGAGCGTGATAGGCCTATAGTTATCTGTATTTTCTTTGTCTCCTTTTTTATAAAGAGGGATAACAATTCCTCTTTTCCAGTCCTCTGGAAATTCTCCAACAGTGAAACTAAAATTTATTAAGTAGACTATTACATCTAATATATGATCACTTATGTTCTTTATTAGCTGCGGTGAAATGTCATCAAATCCTGGAGATTTACGGGTTGATAACGAATTTATCAATGCCCGTATTTCTTCTTTCGTTGCAGGGTATAAAAAAATTGAGTGTAGGATACATTTTTCTTTGAAATTGATTCCATAAACATGACCATAATTGGAGATTCTTATGTCAATTTGGTCTTTGGATACTGTGTCTCTAAGGGCCGGTTGCACAAAGGCAGTTTAAACCTTGTTTAGATTAACGCAATGGATTAAGACATATGATTGGTTGAAATTTGACGTTTTATCAAATTTCAACCAATCTTAGACCATAATCCACTGGTTAATTCCAAGGGAGGTTTAAACTGCCTTTGTACAACCGGCCCTAAGACTATCGGCTACTGTGACAAAGAACCGATTAAAAACATCAGCTACCGCCTTTTGGCAAGTTATCCTAACATTTTGACTATCTTTAAGGATTATTTCCGTACCTTTCTTGCTATCCTCTCCTAAGATTTCTTTTACAGTAGCCCACTGTTTTCTCGGGTCGTTACTTTCTGTAAATGTATGCTTGTAATAGTGTTTTTTTGTCAGTTTTATATCTGTAAAAAGTTCATTTTTTATTTTTCTATAAGCTTGTTGTTGTTGCTCATTGTTCGGCTGTTGCTTACATTTTTTGTACAATCCATTTTTTTCTTTTACCTTTTTTAATATTGTCTTATTCATCCAGGGTTTTAATTTTGATGGCTGCCGTTTTTGATTAATTTTAGACTGCCGACAGTTGGCAATATTTTGTTTAAGTATTTGAAAAAAAATTTGATATGCTTGTGTAACAGTATGTGCTGTATAAATTGCGTCCCATTTTGTGTTTTTGAGTAATTTTTTTAGCTTACATAAATCTAATTTTAACTTACCATTATTTTCATTGCTCATTTTAATATTTTTATCTCGTTCACATTTTATACAAATGGCTGTCATACAATGATCAGTAATTTGGGAATCAATTACCATACTACTACATATGAAAAGTTTTCCGTTACACCTAACAAAAAGATGGTCAATTAACGTATTGGAACTCGAACTTATTCTAGTGGGAACGTGTATGAGAGACTCTAATCCAAAGTTTGACATG